GTTTTGAAATAATTGACAGTTCCTGATACCAGCATAAACTGGACATTCAAAGAGAATGTGTTCCAAAGATTCGGTCTGTGGAGATTGCAAACAGTACATTCTTCTTCAGTATTTATTTTATACACTATTCGACTGAAGGTAATTCTAAGGGACGACTTACTACATGTCCTTAGTTGAGCGATAATCCTAGTTATATATATGGGGACGCGTGCTTTGAGGTAATTTTGAACATTTGCTCGTAGAGAGAGACTATTATAAATGAGAGGATAGGAAGATTGGCTCAAATTCTCCAAATCAATGCTTAAAAGTTTATTGTTGAATATATGTAGAAGAGGAGTTATAAGTATAGCTTTCTTGGAACTATTGTGCAGAAACTGTTGCCAACGATCGACCATTCCGGCAAAAGAGAAATATTGTTTGACCTGCAACACCCAGTTGTATTTAGGATCAACGTTATCGAGCCTGAGCAGTCTTGAAGAACAGACCTTTGGTAGTCGATGGTCGTTAAGAAGTGCAAAATGTGAAAGAGCTGCAGTGAAAATCAGATAAGAAAGTTTCGTTGAAGAAGTTTCCAGACGAACAATATAGTCTGGAGAATTTTTAGGTAGTGACAGTAAACGTTTTGAAAAAATTAACTTGAATCCGTTCGATAACGATGGTATATTGAATACGTTTGATAATATCGACCGTTGGCGCTTCGGTTCCCCAACCGTCTCGGGAGGCTGCGTCGATCTGCTGCAACATCATCTTCGCGCCCCGCCCCCTTTTGTCTCAGTCGCCCACAAGACGCGGCGCTTGCGTGGTCACGTGACCGCCCGTCGGCCAATGGGCGGTGCGATCCGTAAATCAATCTGCGAAAAGGCCGCCGCAGCGGGTCCGATAAAGGGCGGCAGGCACGATGAGATTGGGGGGAAAGGTGGGAGGAAAATGGGTCTGTGAAAAAGGTTTCGTGGTGACGTAGTGGCTCAGAGTGCGTATTTCATTTTTTGGTTTTTCCATTGGTCACCTATAAAGCAGTCAAGCAAAAGTAGGTAATTCGGAAGTCTTAGACTCCATGCAATTAACTGTGATGGAGTACCTACTACTACCACAGCTACTACTTAGGGGAGAACTACCTATGATGGCACCCCTAACGAATAATCTCGATATCAAAGTAACAAATTGATGTTCGAGTGAATTTCTTTCATAATTCTCTAGTTTTCCATTGAGTACTGTATAATTAAACAGCATTGCGAATTATATGATGATATCATTTGATGGCATACTTGATTTTCCGCCATTACTTTCTTAAAAAGTAGATAGTTGAACAACACACTACCTAATTTTATAGTTTTTTCAAAAAACTGATATTTCTGTGGAACCCAGCTTTTGGGGTGACTATATATATATTATTATGTTCCGCACATCGGTTTTGAAGCATAGGTATATTCAATTGAGAGAGGCAACTGGCGTATTCTCACCTTTATGGTATTTCGGAAGAATACATATAGTACTGAATTAATTTTACACATTCAAAAATATGCCACTGAATTCGCATATAACCCACCGAGCACCCAACAAATTCATACCATTTTACGGTATCTGCTTATAGATTCAACTAAACTAAGAGTTAAACTATCAACTGGGGCTATCAGCGCAACAATGGCCTTAGTCACAAATTTCAGCAAATCTGTTTTTTCCCTACAAAAATTCCTCACTAGATAAACTTCAATGCGACAATAGCTTAAACAACCTTCGTTTCATTGTAACGAAATGGCAGCAACATAATTATGCAGTTATTCAGTTCAATATTTTTTTTTATGTTCTGGTTCCCACGAAGGAATATCCTGTAATGTTCAGATAAATTAGGTAGGAATTGGTGTTCTTCTTAAATTTCTGAAGGGTATATTCCTCGGGGAACACCTCCTTTGGCGATGTGTTCCAGAGCCTCGCTGTTCGTTGGATGGACGAGTCTTTGGAAAAAGATGTTCTGCGGGTCTCCAAAGTGACCACGAAGGGGTGCGAAGCCTCAACTCGACGGTTTAATTTCGCGGGGACTGCCAAGGGAGAAACAATTGTTGATATTTCAGAAGAGCATCGTTCATGAAAATATCTATATAAAATATAGCCAGATCGCCATATTTTCTACGGTGTTCCAGAGAAGTGAGTGAGTTTGGTGGATAAGTAAATGCGACACTGGAAATAATCCGAATTTTCTGTGGCTTAGGCCAGTATCGCTCTAAGTCTTCTTAGTAATTTGCAACACAATAAAAGTGCTGAAAAGTGTGTTTATTGAGTGTTCTCAAGTCTTATGTCAAGTTATCAGATAACTCAATCACGGGTAGCAAACGGGAGGAACAAGAAATCGAAGGACGAGTTGAAGAGAAAAAGCGTCAACGAGGAGAGAGTAACTGGAAGCGGCATAAGGCTATAATCTAAACTCTGATGGTGAAGAAGTAATATAATGTTGTAAGTTCAACTATCGCGAAACAAATCCACCTCAACGTCAACAAGCCATTTTCACATTTATTAAAATGTTTCAAATTGGGCTTTTCGACTCGGTCAATATTCCAAAACATAAATCTTCTCAAGCCTGTAAACCATCACCGAACTAAGACATTGTATCCCAAAGGGGAAACCATCGACGCCATAAAGAAAAGATCTTCTGGAGCGATACTGTTTTCTAAACTGAGGATGTGAGAGGACGCATCAGAAGAAATATTCTCAGAGGAAGAAGACACAAACTATAGTTATCCATATAGGTTTTGGAATCATGGTCGAGATTCTTGAAAGTGAAGAATTCGAAGATAGTCAATAACTTCGTTGGTCTGCTTAAGTCTTCATTGAAATGCACGTATTGCGGCCATTCCTTAGTGACGTTTGATCCCTTTTGGGATTTCTCATTGCCAATACCATAGTAAACGCGCCATCCCCCAGAAAGGAGAAATTGGTTGGCCAAGACAAGCCAACTTGCTCCAAATGCAAGGAAAGTACAAAGTCATTATCTATTTAGAGGTTCTCTGAAATTCTCGTCATCCACCTGAAACGTTTTTCGTTGGATCGGTTCTTAGAAAAACTGAACGTCTTAGTTGATGTACCTCTAACTAGACAGACTGGATATGAGTCATTACGCTGCCGATGGAAGTGTACCATTCCACTTGGATCTTCATGCTATTTCGAATCACAGCGGTATTTTTCTAATATCAAACGATTGAAATATCATAACTTCACATTACATCTCATCCGTCAATTCGCGCGACTGTATGCAGGTGGCGCTGTCGAGAGTACCGAGATTTCGCTGCTGAACGTCTGCCGGAGGCCTATAAATACTGTGACATGTAAGAGAACGATTGACTTAACTTCGACAAAATCTCAACAGTGATTGTAGTGCCTAGTTTATCCAACTAGTGTTTGTTCTATATCAATCTAAATTGATGAATAAATGATATATATATAACTCCTTATTAGCACCAAAACACATAGTAGTGTTAATTTGAACAATGCAGGAGCAATTTGACATTCAGGTAGAGTGAATAATTCAATCAATTTCCGGTGGATTCTAATGATTCAAAATGATTGAGTTTCATTCCTTTATTTTCTACATGTAGAATTTCGAAATTATCATCAAAACTATGGTTATTTTCTTCTAATATATGGTTGGCGTATGTTTTTTTGTGGAAATCTTATCGTTTGTGAAGAATTGAAAAAATCACACTATAATATACTAAACTATAGAGTTAAATCATTTACTCTAAAGCTTGGTGGCCCTCCTGGAAACAGGTATAGTGTTCAATTTCACTCTATTTTTTTTACTGTGTATGATTAGCGATATGCAGACATTGCTGTCTATACGGAACGGACGGCTCCAAAACTGAGGAAGGATCAGGCGCTGGTATTCATGGGGCCAAGCCAAAGACAAGAATCTCACTGAGCTTAGGTAAATACGCGACGGTGTTTCAGGCAGAAGTTATTGCAATACATCATTGCGTGAAAGGATTGATAAGGCAAGAGTTTAAAGGCAAAACCATTGCAATCTTGAGACATAGCCAGGCGGCCATCAAAGCAGTCAAATCTATGCAAGTTAACTCAAAACTAGTATGGGACTGCATAGAAACCCTGAATGAACTGGGCAGTCAGGACAGACTGACTCTAGCATGGGTACCAGCACATACAGGGTACGAGGGCAATGAAGAGGCAGACTCACTTGCCCGAGCAGGAGCAAACAAAGCTCTGAATGGCCCAGAACCCTTCTGTGGTATTGCGAAAGCTATACAAAAGACTAGTATCAAACCATGGATGCAAACCAAATCTCAAGAATGGTGGAACAACTCGCCAGGTATGAGACAGGCAAAAGGGTTTATTAAAAAACCATCGCCAACATTCACAGAATATCTACTGAGCCAGAAACGAAGTTCAACTAGAATTCTAGTGAGACTTCTCACAGGGCATTATAGGCAACACATGAGTACGATAGGTCTGACTGAAGAACTGCTGTGCAGGTTCTGTCAGGAAGAAGAGGAAACAGCAGTACACATACTCTGCCACTGTGAGGGCTTATCAAGACTGAGGTTCCTCACGCTGGGTGAGGAAAAACCAGAAGCCCAAAGATACACAGGGAATCTGAAAGCTAACCTATGGAGTCTGATAGAGAAGGCGGGGCTAGCCGAAGAACTCTAATCGATTTTGAGGGCAGACACAATAGATTTGAAAAGGTCGCGGTGTGTCGGCAGATAGCCCGAAAGCACCATTCTAAATCTAATCAAATGATTAGCGATTCGGAAGAAAGACAACTTCATAATCTGGCCCAATTTCCATGCATTCTATTGCAGGGCAGTGTATAAAGATCAACCTTCCTGCAACGGCACGCGGCGTACGCGTCCCACCGACATCATCCCTAGGCGTCGCGACGCTTCGCCGTCGACCGGGCCCGATCGGGTGGCAGAGGGGGGAAGGGGGGCCAGGGGGGAAAGGGGCGTGGCCTGGCTCGAGCCACGAAAAGTGAGGATCAATTCTACTTATTTAATACAGCTTTCGTATTAGGAGCGTGTATATAGTTAGGAATCCACTGTAAACCGATTTGCGCTTAAACTCCGGTTTTATCTGCACTAAGTACTGAGGCTTAGCTCGGCATTGTGTTTGACTAAGTGAACAAATAGATGGAGTGATATTTTATTGACTGTTCATTGTGGCAGGATCGCTCAGTCGATTTCCGATCGGCCTTTTTCATTTTCTAATACGACAGGTGAGTTTTCACTTTCTTAAAACGATTTGGTATGTCATTTTTCCATTTGAAATCAAGAATGAAGCAATATCAATTGAAATTCTTCAAGGAAATTCATCTATAAAATACCTTCATCTGTCTCCAGCTATAAACTTTGTCTATACCCTTTTATACTTATTCTATAACTTTGAAACCCTTAGAATAAATACAAATGGATACACATACCTAGTGTATATTATTATAATTATTTTAGATGTGTGTAAATTATAAATAGATAACATCAGATATAGAATACAACTTTCGTATTAGGAGCGTGTATATAGTTAGGAATCCACTGTGAACCGATTTGCGCTTATACTCCGGTTTTATCTGCACTAAGTACTGATGGGGCTTAGCTCGACATTGTGTTTGACTATGTGAACAAATATAGGTGGAGTGATATTTTATTGACTCTCGATTGTGAACATTCGATTTCCGATCTGCCTTTTTCATTTTCTACTAAGACATGTGAGTTTTCACTTTATCAATACAATTTCATTCATTCTTTTTATTTGAAATCAAAAATGAAACAACATTCATTAAAATCCTTGATTAACAACGGATATACACACACAGAGAAAGACATTTCATTCTAAAGAAAGTCACCTAGGAAGTACCTACCTTCACATTATGTCCCCAGTCAAACTTTGCCTAAGGATACCCCTTTCCCCTTTATTCTTATTCTGACTTTGATACCCTTATACAATACAAACCGATGGGTCTGAATAATTCTAATTTTTTTTCTTTCTCAAATGGTATGGGTGATTCTGGCGAATCTCATCTAGTAGACAGTGTATACATGTCGGCGTCAATTAGTGAAATCAGTCATTCCCTGAAATGCCTAGTCATTTCACGTATTGTCGGCAAACAGCGTAACAGCGTAACAACTTCCATTTTCAGCCGTTACTCTGTTTGCCGTATAGGGTTGAGGAATGAAAATATCCTCTCTGAGTTGCGCTGTTTGCCGGCAATATGTGAAATGACTAGGCATTCCAGAGAATGATGGGTTCCACTGTTTGACGCCGACATACTTATATAATTTTAGAATAAGTGTGTAAATTATCAATAGGTATATTTGGGTGAATTAGTTATGAATCCACCATAAATGAGGCTTAGCTCGGCATTGTGTTTAGTGGTGCCCGCGAGAGTCTCGTTTTCGAGAGTCTCGCATGGTCTCGTCTCGTTTTCGAGACAAGACTCGAGACGAGACTCGGACAAGACGAGACGAGACTTTCATTGGTCTCGTCTCGAGTATCGTGCAAGACTTCTCGTGTCTCGTGCGAGAGTCTCGCGGGTAAATATTTCTGCGTGCCGACTGCAGACTTGAGAATTTCATTCATAATACAACATATTTAGAAATAATTCAGACTATTTAGCACAGATAGACAAAATATTTCATTCATAAATACTTTAAAAACACAATCCATGACTGTTGGAAAACGACGTAATGCGTGAAACGAAAACGGGCTATTCTCTCTCTTACGGCGGAATAATGTTGGATTAAAGTTTTTGTTTTGTTTATTTGTTCAGAATATACGTGTTACTTTCGAATATATAATGCTTTGTTTTTTTTTTCTTGTTTAGATGTATGATGTAAGTATGTACCTATTGGGTACCTACTTTTCAATAAAAAATGTTATTTTTGTTGTTATTTTCTCTTCCTACTTCTACATTATACCTAAGAAGTAGGTGAAGGTAAATATCCCGTACTAGACTATAACAAAATTATGCATGACGAAATTGCGATACATTTGCGAGACTCTCGTACGAGACGCGAGACAAGACGAGACTCGGGACTGCGAGACGAGACTCGAGACAAGACTTCATATTTCATCGTCTCGTTGGTCTCGTGTGAATCACTAATTGTGTTTGACTATAGATGAACAAATATAGTTATTTTATTGACTTTTCATTGTGCACAGTCGATTTCCGATCGGCCTTTTTCATTTCTATACTACGACAGGTGAGTTTTCACTTTCTTAAAACTTTGGTATGTGATCCATGTTTTAATTCGAAATCGAAAATGTAATGACATTCATTAAAATCCCTGATTAAATATACGGGTTACCTATACACACAGATAAAGAAATTTCATTCCCTTCATCTGTCCCCAGCTAAACTCTGCCTATATATATAACCCTCTAACTTTGAAACCCTTGGAATACAAAATGAATTGGGTCTGAACAGAATGATTTCAAATTTTTTTCTGTCTCTAATGGAATGGGTGATGCTGGTGAATTTCATCTATTTATACTTATTCTAATTTAAAAACCCTTTAAAATACGAATCGACGCTGGCTCTGAATCATGCTAAATTTTTCTTCTGTCGCAGATTAAATGATGGATGATGCCTGAGAAGAAAGTTAATAGTTAATTATAAATTTTAAAAAAAGGAGGCATTTCATTTCAAGAAAATTTACCTATATACATATATACATTTTCTTATATTTCCATGTGTGTATAATCAGTATAAATTGAGGTCATGCTAGAAAGAATATCCAAAGTAAAACAATCAGAGTGTATTGTTTGTCAACTCATATTCAGAATTTGAGTTTGAATTTTCACAAAAGACAAAAGATAGGTATAATAATCACGCTCATACATTTTGACAGCGATGTGTACATATTATTCCTGTGGCAACCGCATATATTTTTATTATGGTTTTCAACCTACTTGCAGAAAGATAATGAAATTTTTCTATATAAAACAAAAATCATCACTTACTAATGAACGAAATCCACAGGTGGCAGGGAAATATTATTTATACTTATAATATTGAATCAATTACCTATTCAAAAACCGTCAACAAGTCAATAATTCAAATGCATGCAGTTATTTTCATCAATTTGGCACGTGTTACAGCTATTATAATTCTCCCGAGATTAACTTGATTAAATTGTAAATTATACTTATAATAATAATAAGTAATCAGTTATCGTAATAACTGTGTCAATTAAGTAATAGTAATATTAGTAATCTATTATGTATAATAGTACACACAATCCTTGGTATGAATAAATTCCCATGGTTAATTTTAATCTTTCTTTGCTCAATTTCAAACGAGTGTATACGGCTGAAAAACGTTATTATGCATTACTTATAACTAGAGCAAACAATATCAAGTTTAAGGAAACTAACGATTAATATTGAAATTAATCTAAATCCATTTGAGATTATTTTTTTTGATAATCCATTGGTCAGTATAGGGATACAGTTTGGATAAATGAGTAAATTTAGTCGAAAAGTTGTGTAAAGCACCACGGATAATTATGCGTCAACTCATTTTGAATGGCCCTGTGCCCTTATGAAAGCACACAACATGATTAGCATTTCATGGAGAAGCCCATAATTGAAGAAATACCGTAAAACGATGAAGCCTAATTTTAACTCAAGAAAGCAAACTATTGGCAATCCACAGAACAAAATACAATGTCACTGATGACACATAAGACAGTGAAAACTGTCGATTGTCATAGGGAGTGAAACTCGGACTGAAAGCGCCATAGAAATGCATGATGTTAATCATTGATATAAAGATTTGTGAACAACCAGAAGCACCACTCGACCTGAATCAAAGAGAAGATATACCTAAAATTCCTAAATATGAAGTCAAAATAAAAATTGGATGGTAGGAACCAAAGCACGATGAAAGCACAGTTGGTATCTATCTTTTGTGAAAATCAGTAAAATTGAAAAATGTTTGGCAATTAGAAGGATTCTGCTCATTGAGTGATTCTGATAGGTAAGGCGTTTCTCTTAGAAATTTCAAGTAAGAGAATATTTTTGTAAAATTCATATAAAATTTCTAGATTGATATGTGAATATCAAAGAAATGTTGATGATTGAGAATGATTCGTAGTCGAACTTTTCGTGTTATATTATATGTAATCAACAAATGGAAGTTCACAAATTTTCAATTGCATGTTCCTACAATCACGATTCAAGGACTATAATATAATATCTGGTTTGAATTATAGTCTACCACTCTGACCTATGTTTTTTACAATTCGTTATACAATGGACACACCAGGCTATATCCGAAACATGATGTTCTTAAATAAAAGTATGATGGACTTCTACATGAGAAAAAGATAATCAGTGTGAAAATAATTTGATAGAATATAGAATATATAACTATTATCTCTCCTATTTCGGCAATATACTTTTCTCAGTTAAAAGGTAAGTAAATACACTAAGGAGTATTATTTCCCATGCATATCATTTATTATTATGTCACGTGAATTTTGTTGATTGATTCCATGAACTTCAAAAGTTACAGGGGCTTATCTATAGCACCAGATACATATGTATATAGCGCACAAGAAGTCATGTGTGGTATCCAAGCAGCTGCGGTATGATTAAGTGATGGTCAATTACCTGTTCAATTCGATGAAGAAATAATCTCCACGAATACCGCAAATTGCAAATTCCGGTACTCTATAAGCTTGCGATCACGTAACAACACATTGTTTATTGATATTCAATTGGCTGATTTTACGATCATTTCACAGCAAGATCGAAGTATCACAGAACGACCGATATGCCATCATGAAAGAGGCTCGTAAACTAGGAATAAATTCTGTTCCGCTCGAGTTTAGCTCCGAATCGGCTTAGAAAAAGAGAGGAAATTCACACATAAGACGATTAGTTAGTTAGCCTGTAAATCCTGGGATCCCCGTAAAGAGCATTATCATTATATTATGATTATATTGGATTTAGTACTTTCGTAGTGCCGTTGTGGAATGGCAGCGTAGTAATTCAGTGCTAGTTCGACCTTTGAGATAGAAGGCCGCGTGAAGACAGTCGCGAATCGACGATTTGGAAAAATAGTCGCGTTTTATTCCCGTCAACGCTAATTGGAAGTATTGCCCGAGGAGTTTTATTTATCGCTTCGCTCCGATACCAATTAAAAACTTCATTTCATCGATAAAGAACGTGAATGTGTCAGTTTGATGTGTAGGTATATCGAGAAAAAAAAATTAT